CAGGGTGGAGGCGGGAGTGAGCCATTTCTACATCTGGAACAAAAAGGACTTAAGTCTGGTACGGGTTGTTGTTTCTCTGGTTTAAGGATGTGAGAGGATTGAAGACAGTACATGTCTCACATCCCCAACAGTGTTCCTTCTAAGCTGAGTTAGTGTGAGCTAGCTCACAGTTTTTTAGCCTCCAGCTCACAGATTTTTGTCACAGATTTTTGCAGTGGCCAAATCACTCGCTCACAGCTTTAATGCCAGTAGCTCACAAAGTAGAATTTTTGTCACAGATTTTTGCAGTGGCCAAATCACTCGCTCACAGCTTTAATGCCAGTAGCTCACAAAGTAGATATGGCTGCGGCAGGAGGCGGAGCCAGGCACAAAATGGCTGCCGCGGCTCAGCTTCGGTGACACAGTGTAGACCCTCGCTTCGTGGTGGCCGCCGAAACTGCGGAAGTAACATTTTAAAAAATCTGTCCAGCCAATTAAATCTCCAGTCGTCAATCCTCTCAGGACTTTAAAATTAAAAAGAAAAAAAAGAGGTGCCAGAACTCTCAAAAGGGAAATGAAGTTTTCAATCTGTATACTGAAAACTCATGAGCTTTTAAACATTTTAAAAAGAATTTTGTTGAAGAGGTTCCGTTCCGGTACATTCCTTCAGGGAAAAAGCCCTGAGTCCTCTTTTTTTTGCTATTCAATGTGATATCCAGGGCTTTTTTTGTAGAAAAAGCCCAGCAGGGATTCATTAGCATAGTAGGCCACACCCAATAGCAGAAACGTATCAGCATATTAGGCCACACCCTGACAGCACAGTTCATTAGCATATTAGGCCACACCCCATGCATTCCCTTGGCTTGCCTGGGCGCCCTGCAGCTGCGGGGAGCCCGGGCAAGCCGGCCCTCAGACAGGCCAGGGAAGGCTCCCCGATCCTTCCAGCCCTCCCCTGGCCCGCCAGCCTCGGAGTCATCGGGGGGCGGGTAGCTCTCCCGACCTTCCCTCTGTAGCCACACACACAAAGGTTTTGGCTGTAGTGGGCCAACTCTGAAACCAGCCGGAACTCCATTCCTGCGTGTTCCTGCCCAAAAATAGCCCTGGCAATAACCCTATCTGGTGCTCTTTATTCATGTAGAAAATCTTTATCCCACCCTTCCTCTAAGGTGCTTACCATGGTCTCCATGATTCGTACCTGCTCCATTTTAGGCTTACAACAACGCTGTGAGGTAGGTCAGGCTGAGTAGGCCAAGCCAGCAAGCTTTGCATTAGATTGAGGCTTTGAACCTGAGTCTCCCGGGTAACATTCTCACTCACACCCAAACGCCTACAACAATAGGGTCTCAGTTAATTACTCTCAGCATCCCACAATTACGGCTGCATCTGCCCAACAATCTCCGATGCAATTATGACATACTCATTTCCTTCACTATGTTTCCCCCAGAATTAAACCCGAACAAATGGTAACCATATAAACTGATCTTGTTATTCCTGTTTGGTCCTTGCATCTGTTAAACACCTTCATTATGCTGTATGCTAATTTGCTCCTCACCCTCTACCTGTATGTATGGACTGGTAACTTCCATTTCATTGTGTCTGAAGAAGTGTGCATGCCCAGGAAAGCTTAGACCTGGAATAAAACTTTGTTGGTCTTAAAGGTGCCCCGGGACTCCAATTTAACAGTTAAGCAGGGTGCACCTGCCCAGCAGTATCCAATTTTGACACACTTTCCCCCTTCACTATGTTTCCTGCCCCCCCCCAATTAAACCCAAACAAATAGTAACCCTATAAAACATATAAACTATAAGCTTGTTATTCCTGTTTGGTCCTTGAATCTGTTAGACGCCTTCATTATGCTGTATGCTAATTTGGTGCTATATGTATGGACGGGTGATTTCCATTTCAATATATCTGAGGAAGCTACCTTGAATAAAACTTTGTGCGTCTTAAAGGGGCCCCGGGACTCGAACTGTATTTCGCCTGCAAACTCCCACTGCACCCGACCAGACCCCCGTCCAGCCACCCGCTCTCTTCACCCCGAGGAACCCCCCAGCCCCAATCCTACATCAACCTCCCCGCAGACGGACGCCCTCGCCACCCAATCCCCGCGCCGCTGGGTATAAACAACCCCGCCTCGG